ATTGACTTTCGATAGGATAACTTCTGAATTTGATTTGAGTGCTCAATATGATACATGCCATCTTTAAGCTTCCCTTCCAGCAACACCTCCTTCGTCTGTTTGTCCTTAATAACACAAAAATTAGAATGAAATTCCATGAAAACATTATTATCAGAGGTCAATTGTGAGACACTAATCAGGTTTTTCTGAATTGAAGGTACCAACAGTATATTATTAAGAGTTAATGGCTTGTTATTCTTAGTGTTCAATTGATTATTGCCAATGTAAGATATATAAAGCTTGTTTCCATTACCAACAGTTAGGCCTTCCTTACCACCATACTCATGTGCCTCAGTCAAGTTTCCTTTGTCAGCAGTCACATGGTTGTTTGCTCCTGAATCTGCAAGCCAAGCTGGATCTGAAATGGTCCTTGAGGAGTGCAGTAGCCCCAGAAGAGTTGCTTTGATAGTTATAGTCAGGTCTGGTACCCATGTACCTATCATCATATCGATTGAAACACTTTTCTGCAGAGTGGTTGCTCATGCCACAGATTTGGCAAGGACCTTTGTTGGGAATTTGTCTTCCCCCTCTTCCTCTGTTTCTTCCTCCCCTGTAGTTGTTGCATCTTCCACCATAGTTAGACCTACCTCCTCTATTAGTATTTGGTCTATGAACGAAGTTTGCAGATGCTTGATTCAAGTTAATTGAGGTTAGGCTATACCTTGTAGCATTGAGGAATTCCATTCTACTTTCATAAGTCATCAGAATTGACTGAAGTTCATGCCAGGAGATAGATTCTCTACTATTGATTTGGACTACAATGGGAGTATATTCTTCATCTAAACAAGCTAATTCCTGAGTAACAAGGTCGCTATGAGGAATGCTTTTTCCAGCGATCTCAAGGTTGTCTGCTAACTACTTTACTGTGTTAAGGTACTGATCAATGCTCATTGATCCTTTTCTGGTTCTCTGAAGCTCACTAATGAGAAAAATTACCCTTGATTTGTTCATCACCCCAAAACTCTCTTGGACAGCATTCCAGAGACTGCAGGAGCTCGAAGATCCCATAACTCTCATGGCTATTTGTGGTGTCATTGATGAGTACAACCAACTCATCAACAATTGGTCAGTGGACACCCACTTTCCATACTCAGCATTGGGTATTATTTCAACTGTAGGTCCAGCAGGGCCAATAATTTGAGTGGCCAAAAACTCTGCTGGGCATTCTTTGGTTCCTGTGATGAAACCTTCAAGGTTGTGTCCCTTGATGATTGGCATGAGCATGTTTTTCCATAACAGAAAATTGTCTCTGTCAAGCTTCACAGGTGGTACTTGGGTGAGGCTTATTCCAAATGATGGAACCTGACTTCCTCCAAGAGCTGAAGGCATCGAGGCGCTTGATGTTGGTTGAGCTGATTGTGCACTGTCATTAGAACTGATGTTAGCCATTTGTGGAAAAGAAAAGAGACTCTGATACCAAGTTAAAATTCAGAAGAAAAATAAGGGAAGATGAAGATAGAACATAAATGATTAAAAGTAAATTTCTTCAATATAATTTTACAAAATACATCCAGTAATTTATATACAGATTTCTTAAGTAAGGAGCAAGCAATTATTGTTAATTACACGTGAAGAATCTGTTGTGGTTATAACAAGAATTGTGGTCCCAAACTGTACAATCATAACAGCACATGGAGAGATGAAAATACGGTGACTTAGAAGCAAAATCGGTAGGAGGTAAATACGGTAACTTCAAAATCGGTAGAAGGTAAATACGGTAACTTTAACAAAGCTACATACAACTTCCGCAATAGGAATGGAATTTTTTTTTTCCCTCGATCATTTTCAATCATAAAAGTCGATCTTCGTTTTCTGGTTATTCATTTTGGCATTAAGTTTACTATAATATTTTAAAGTACAGCAGAAGCTATGTTGGATATTTATAAAGAAAATAGAATTAGAGTGTGTTTGAGCCACATTATTTTGGAAGAATGTATTTTGATGTGATAGAAAATAATGTGGCTAAAACGCACCCCTAATCTCACAATCGAATCGAATTCAACTGAAACAAAATCGTACCATCTGGTTTGGTCTTCTTGTGATTCCGATAGGTGATTCAGAGTAAAAATGTCCAATAAGCCCTTGTTTGAGCCACGTTATTTCAACAAGAATGCATTTTTTTGTTTGATATAATGGGGAATGTGTGGTTGAAAAATAAAAAGAAATTATTGATATGATGAAAAATATTATTTTATTAAAAAATTAATAGTTGAAATGAGTTTCAAAATGAGAATGAAAAAGAAAATGTGACTCAAACAGGGCATATGGGTTTTGTAGAAATTGTTTTCCCACCTTTTAGATGGGTTTTCGTTTTCCAGTTTCCTTTTTATTTGATAATAGGGAAAAATTCTAGACCCAATGGTAAAAAAAAATTATCATTTTTATTGATAATTTTCATGCAAAATAAAGCCAAACGAATGATATTCGATAGGGTACTTTTTTGTTTTGGCAAATTAAACAAATTCTAGAAGAATTATCACTTTAATAAAAAATTTTTATGAAAAATAAAGTTAAACGAACACCAAACTTTCAACATTTTTCAGACGAAAAATTATACCAATAAAACATAATTAATTATAATTTTCAGTAAAATAATTTATAAGCAATTCAATTCCCTCAAATTCACTTTCTTTACACTTATTTTTCAACTTTGCAATCAAGTTAGTTTTTTCACATGATTGAGACCAAATCAAAGTACTACACAAAAAATGAGGGCAAGGAGAATATCCAATTTAATACTGTAAATCCATGGGCGATGTTGAGGCCGATCGTC